CTGATAATTAGTCTATCAATTTAGATAGGAAGAATTAAGATACCATGGTAAACAACGTCTACTTACAATAATAGATATACATACACATATGAGTAATCAAATGACCTAGATACTGTCAACGTAGGCGTTGACTGTTACTCAGTTTATAGTCTATTTGTCTAGTTCTAGCTCATTCTCACCCTCACCACCCCAGTATACTTGTACTGATTCACCGTATATAGCCTTGGTGTATTGTTAATTTAATAAGAAACCCTGTCTAACCTATTCAATATAGTGTTACTTATACTTAAAAGTACTACAGATAAAAACTGAATATTAAAGGTAATGGTAATTGATTGATTGTGACTGATACAATCGATCAGTTTATAACGTTAAATGAAATTATGAGATAAATAATGATTAGAATAAAAACTGGATAAAACTAGAAAGGAATACCCAGGACAGAGTGGATTGGAGAATGTTGGTCGGCGGCCTATGCTCCATTGGGAGTAACAAGCGTAAGTAAGTAAGTAAGTAACATGAAATGAAAGAGACAATGATGTAGTTACAAATCAAGAATCCCATAATATGTAGACTAATATGAATTAGGTACGAATTAATAAACTGAGATGGATACTGAATAAATTTCTTAAAATTGTTGGCAGGTTTTACAATAATAATAATGAACATTAACCAAATTACGTCACTATATCATAAAATTGATTATTAACTAGTTAGGTCCATAGTTGGGCAAGGTAATAGGTGCGATTGAACATACTTCTTTTATACTCAAAGTTCTAGCTTTTTCATCCGAATAGCAATTACTTCAGATGTCTGAAGGATTCTCATTCTAACGCATTTAGGTAGACTGTTGGTTAACACAATATCTTATTGTGAATGATTGCTTCATGTTGGTTGTATGATACATCTGAACGAAATGAGCTAGAAATGGAGTTGTTAACAGTTTTAACTACACCTTTGCTTAACCATATTGGGAAATGCTCACGAACCGAATATACAAACTCTTAGAACACCTGCTAATATAACTCTTTCTACAAAAGCAGTTGAATTGATGGATGCAGAAAGAATAGTTAATATATGCGATATTTATTTTATTATTTTATTATTTTATTTTAACACATAAATATTGGTACAAAGGGGCACCAAATACATATGCGCCATACAAATCTTATTTGATTTGTGTGAGGGCTGTGATACTGCCCGAGTGCCCAAACCGAAGCAGATGGTTTTCTTACTAGACCACACCCGAAGCCTTTGACCGAAAGATATGATTCACAAGGCTGTGGAGCATCGTGAGGAGATGCAGTCACATGGCAGTGTCTGTCATTGAAAGGTGTACCTGAGAAGTACATAAACCTTTTGAAGGCTCTTTACTCGAACACTATTAGTCGAGTGAGAGCTTATGGCGAACTGTCATATGATTTTACAACCTCAAGTGGTGTCCGTCAAGGCTGTCCACTATCCCCATTTTTGTTTAATTTCATTATAGACCTGTTGCTGGAAATAACACTCTCTTCGACTGAATTTACAGGAATTGATCTCCTACCAGGGGGACCACTAATCGACTTAGAATACGCAGATGACATAGTCCTATTTGGTGAAGACGCTGACAAAATGCAGAGTCTTCTGTTGGGACTGAGTAATAATGCCAGGATGTTTGGGATGCGTTTCTCCCCATCCAAATGTAAATTGTTACTCCAGGACTGGCCTGCGTCAACACCCGAACTAAGGATAGGGAGTGAAGTAGTCGAACGCGTCGACAACTTCACTTATCTTGGAAGTCTGATCAGTCCTAATGGGTTGGTGTCTGACGAAATCTCAGCACGGATTCAGAAAGCTCGTTTGACTTTTGCCAATTTACGTCACCTATGGTGTAGACGAGATATCCGTCTATCAATTAAGGGACGAGTATACTGCGCATCAGTTCGCTCTGTTCTACTTTACGGTTGTGAAACATGGCCATTAAGAGTAGAAGATACTCGTAGGTTACTAGTATTTGACCACAGATGCCTTAGAAATATTGCTCGCATCTGCTGGGATCACCGGGTAAGTAATAGTGAGGTTAGACGCAGGGTATTAGGGAACGATGGTAAATCAGTTGATGAGGTGATGAATCTTCATCGACTGAGATGATTGGGCCATGTGTTACGTATGCCTGAACACCGATTACCACGACGCGCTATGATGACTAGTATTGGGGACGGTTGGAAGAGAGTTAGGGGCGGCCAAACCAAAACATGGCATCAGTGTTTGAAGTCACTAACTTATAGTCTGAGCCATATTGTTAAATGCAGACTACCTGGTTGTGGTTCGCATGACTATCGTAACCAATGGTTGGAGACTGTGGGTGACATGGCTCAGAATCGGTCACAATGGCGTAGGTGTATACACTCTTTATCTTCCCTTAAACCTTGAGATTAAAACTGCTTCATATCTGTTTTCCTTCCTATAGTATATCCTTATATACAACCTATAATTTATATACTACTACCAACACTAAATTAACTACTATGAATCCGTTGTTGATCTTGTTGTGCTAATGAGGTATGGCAACTTGGACCGATGCATATATGTGCCTGGTCCTACGTTGTAGCTGACTGACTGACTGCAGTCACATGGTATTCGGTGACCAACGATTGGTTCATACGCCATTTGTTCCCTTTCAGGATACTGGAGCCCATGTGTATCATTGGTTTGGAATGAGGGTTTTCCAACTCCCCTAGGCGGACTTTCCGTGTCGACCAACCCGGTTAAAGCGTCGGACATTCGCTTTTCGTCCTCTCAATTTCGTAGACAACACTCGCGGCACGAGAAGACAGTGAGTAGGACTTCCTTGTCACAGAGGCTATATACGCGTGACCATCTGAGATCATTTCGAGAGGGAGAGCGGACTCTCTCCACTCTCGGCCGTATCAGGTCATTTGGGGGCTTTGGGATATTTGTCTACACCAGTATCTGGTTTTTACAATCAACAGTGAAGTAGTCGAGGACATTCAAACTTTCGCTTATATTTTAATACTTATTCAATCATTCACTTAATATAACATCAATATTTAGAATAATAAAATATCCATAAGACAATCACTTTTACGATAAATGATTTATTACTTTAGTCAACAAAGCTCATATTTCTTCTTAACTGAAAATAAACGAATATTTATTTGATCTATACACTCTCAAATATAAACATTAATTATTCGTCAATTACTTACTTACTTACGCCTGTTACCCCCAATAGAGCATAGACCGCTGACCAACATTCTCCAACCCACTCTATCCTCGGCCTTTCTTTCTTGTTCTATCCAAATTTTGTTCATTCTTCTCATGTCTGTCTCCATTTCGCGGTGTAATGTGTTCTTTGGTCTTCCTCTTTTCCTTTGACCTTCAGGATTTCATGTGAGGGCTTGCCTTGTGACACAGTTGAGTGATTTCCTCAATGTGTGTCCTATCCACTTCCAGCGCTTTTTATTCTTCAATTATTCTACTATTTCTTGTTTGTTTATTTTTGCAATTTAGGCTGTGTTCTTTGTTTTCTAAAGATTGTTCTCTTTTCTTTCGTACATACATATAAACGTATATGATTTGTGTAAAAGTTTCAATTAATTCATGTTCTCCTCACTTTTTGCTTTATTTAATCATACATGTTTATTTAATTTATGTACTTAGTTACAGGACATAAATGTGTTATCACTAATAGAGAAATCATCTGATTGAAGGTATAAAATGATAACCTGTTATAATAATCTTCATATTGATCTCGCTGACGAGTCCCAAACAGGACGAAACGCGTCAAACTGGATTCTACTACTAGCCACTATCCATCTTTGCTTACCATGCTTGTGAATTAAGGCTATATTGAGGCAATACGCACAATATGCATATATGCCAATAAGAGACTGACCAGTTGCAGTCCTAACACATCGATGGGAAGCTTCAAACAAACAATACTAAATGAATTTGATCTCGTTAATTGTTTACTTATTTCTATCACATTGGATACAACTGTATATCCACTTATTTGAATATTTTTTCACCTTGATAATAGTAAGAAAATTGTTTTAATTATTCTTAACACATATGTGGTGTAGGCCACTTATGTCCACATACATAAGTAGCATGTAACACTAATCAGAAGTGGTATGCCTGAAAGGAGAAGATCTAATTGAACGAACGATGGGATTTGAGACAATTGATGAAAGATTTGCAGTTGAAATATTTGATGTATGGTTATCGCATTTTATGAAAGAACTTTGTGATTTTGTACTATATAATAGATTGGTTTTCTCCACTTAAATGTTCGCCCACTACACACTTCCGTAGTTACATACTAAATATGAACCTTTAGAATTGAACTTCATTACTTAACATTCACATACTTGTCAGAAATACTTCAACATCTGATTTAAATTACATGTTTAATGGCTCTACTGTATTCATGCTTTGTCTTTGATTTCAATACTTTTGAAACTGATCTCAGTCTTTGATTGGGTGTTTTGTGTCTAGCAAAATAATTAAATTGTTTTAGACATTGAACTTTCTAAAATCGGTCAATGTATCAACAAATTCAAATCATACTTCAGTTATTCAGATTAAAGGAATAGACCTTTATTGATTCTATTACACCATCAACTTTATGTAAGAGTTATACGTTTATAACATTGTCATTTCAAGGAGAATTATAATATGTAATGTTTAATGGCATCATAATAGCGTTAAATTAAAACTAACTAGCATGACTATTAGTCAGTCAATAGTCAACTGGAAAGGATTGCTCAGGACAGAGTTGGATGAGGAATGCTGGTGAGCGGCTTATGCTCCTCCACGAGGGGTAACAGGTGTAATTAAGTAAGTAAGTAAGCATGACTATTAGAAAATAGCAGCTCTAGTTTCAATGATCTAAATAAACTACTACATACCTAAATTTTCAATTACTTTTTAGTAATTTTTTTTTTAATGTTCACTTTACTACAACTAATATTGTATTTGATTTACAAATACAGGTATGCTTCCACGTCTTAGTCCTGAAATTTGGATAACCACAAGTGAATATCGTCCTGATGTAGATTCAAATTTGGATACAATTAGCACCTCAGGTGAAGAATTCCCATATAATCCTGGTTTTCGTCCACATGGAACACGTTCATTAGGTCGTCCATTGTTTATTAGAGCAAATGAAACAGTGTGTGTACTTGGCAAAAGGTTTGTTAAGTTTTTTTGTTTACTTAGTTTTGCACTTAAAATTACTTACTTACTTACGCCTGTTACTTCCAATATAGCATAGGCCGCCGACCAGCATTCTCCAACCCACTATGTCCTGGGCCTTCTTTTCTAATTCTATCCAGTTGTTGTTCATTATTCTTATATCTGTTTCCGTTTCTCTGCGTAGTGTGTTCTTTGGCCTTCAGAATTCCATGTGAGGGCTTGCCTTGTGACACAGTTGAGTGATTTCCTCAATATGTGTCCTATCCACTTTCAGATCTTCTTCCTGATTTCTTCCTTCAGTGAAATCTGGTTTGTCTCCCACAGTAGGTTGTTGCTGATAGTGTCTGGTCAACGGATCCGAAGTATTTTGCGTAGACAACTTTTAATAAACATCTGTATCTTCTGGATGATGGCTTTCGTAGTGCTTCAAGTTTCCGCCACATACAGTAGAACGCTAACCAGAAAAACTTAAAATTACAGTACAAATAAAAATTACAATTTGATGTTCACTTTTCTACTTTTTCTTATCAAAAAAAAAACTTTTATTTGAATTCATTCTTTCTTGTAGAAGTAGTAACACATGGAAAGTGGTAAATTTACGTACGGGCCTTGTAGGTTGCATTCCATCGGGAATTTTAAAACCATACAATGCCCCTGGCAATGATTCATCTGTTACTCGCGATCGTCAAACACTAACTACTAATAATACTGCCTCATCATCGGCAAATACTATGGGGTTAGTAGCGAAAACACGTTTACGTATGAGTCGAAGAGGTTAGTCGTGATAGTCTTTCTTGTTTATTTTCTCTTTGTTGTTATCATTAACATGAGGTGTATTCTTTCGAATGACCTTGTGAAAAATATATTTTTCTCTCCAATCTAGGTCGGATTTCTTGAAATCATTTTTATTGGTACCACATATATGTGATATGGCTAGTTAATACAAACATGTGAATTTTATAGTTGATTAGATCAAAGGTATCTTTGAAACATTAATTATTGTCGTGTGGGATAGAACCATCGAATGATCTGTATTGTGTTCAGAAAGAAACATTTATAAAGTAGGCAGATAATATTTTCAACCTTAGATGCTTTCAGTCGTTAAGAAAATTTTCGGATAACTAGATCTCAATTTCTCACAAATAGCTATATTTTTTCGATCGACATGGAGAGCGGATATCACCTTTCTAACACAGCACAATTCATTCAAACTATTAACACCTTTTACAACTACTATGATTCAAATCAGAGAGCACTTAGCTGTGTGATCTAATTATTTTCGTAAATTTTTACATTCTTGTTTCAACATAAGAAGAATTTTGTAGTGATCCACTTGGTTTCTAGCTTGCTTTTGTCCCTAATCGAACTCAATTAGACTATAGTTGAAAAGTAGTAAGTGCTAGACAATTTTCGAAAAAAGCCTGAATGTCCTTGGTTCGGTAGCTGATGGGTTAATAGGCCTACTTTGTTGAAGAGTCTAATTAAGATTAAAAAAAACAGATGTCCAGTGCTACTCTGTTTCCCAGTGGTACTTTAACTGATGTTAATCTTTAACGAGAATACCAACTATATCTGATGAATTTGATCGAAATCATGAATCGATCAAAGTTAAACAATCATCAAAAACCTGGAAGCACTGGACGATCGTCTCGTCTTAGTGTGAGACTAGTCATTAGTGTGTATCTACAACTATGCAGACAAGAATCGAACCCAGAATCTTCGGTCTCGCACACGAACACAACCTCTAGACCATTGAGCCAGGAGCCAATGGTATACAAGTCTAATTTCAACCGGTCTACAATAATGTGCGACCATCTATCATTATCTTCGATGGATACCTTTCCTTAATTAGTATCAATTTTCTCCTTCACTAAGGAAAAAAAAAAGATTTTTACAATCAACTGTTATTTCAATTTAGCTTCATTAACAGATTTGGCTTTACGCAGTAAGTTATCTTCTATGTTTATGAATTTAACAGGATATCAATGCGCTTCCTTTTTTTTTAAAAAAAAACTAATTTTCGGCCAAAATCTAGTTTTTGTTGCTATGTACAAAGGCAAAAATGATAATTTATATTAAATAATGCCAAATTGGTTATCGCTGATTGATTGTTTATTCACCTTATATGTATTGGCTGAATATTGCACTACATGCATAATAATAATGACAATGCCATAATTTTCTCGTTTTATCAATGGGGTATTGTGTGTTTGTATGTAAGTATAGATCTTTTCACCTGAAGTATTCTGCCATCTCGTTGAAATATGATTGTGAAACTTTTTATTTCACCAATCTCTCTGAATTTTCCTTTTATAATACTTTGGATACTGAGAGAAAATGATGTGGATGAAGTTTATCTTCAGTTTGTCTTCAATTAACTCATAAGACTGTTATCAGTTATTGCTTCTATTGTTTTCTATTAGTTTATTGCTTTTCGGTGAAAAAAAATATTGTTTCTAATGATTTTTTATCACTAAACAGTATTAAAATGTAAAGCCATATCGGCTGTGAAACATGGTCGATAAGAGTAAAGGATATTCATAGGCTGCTAGTATTCGATCATAGGTGTCTTCGAAGCATTGCTTGTAAACCCTGGGACCACCGGGTAAGTAATACAGTTGTTAGGAAACCGGTACTAAGTAAGGATGGTAAATCGATTGATGAAGTAGTGAAACTTCATCAGTTGAGATGGCTGGGACACGTGCTACGTATATCCATCCACCAACTACCCCGACATGTAATGTTTTATGGTGTAGGAGTAGGTTGGAAAAAAGCTGGGAGCGGTCAGACCAAAACGTGGCACAAATCCATGAAGTCACTGACAAGTGGACTGAGCCATGTTGATAGGTGTAGAATACCTGGTCAAGATCCACAGGATGATAACAACCGATGGTTAGAGACGTTGAATGACATGGCTCAAAATCATTTGCAATGGCGAAGGTGCATCCACTCTTTGTGTTCTACCAAATTCTAATCTTCTGAATTCCTCATGTCTTTATGTTTTTCTCTTTCCAAATTTATTTCACTGTACTATACTCGTTCAATAATTTCTTCAAACCCTAATCTTTCTGATTTCTGATTATACTCCTACTACTTCTACCACTATGGGATTCGAATCGACAACTGCATCTCTGTGCTAATGTGGTATGGCAACTCGAACTGATGTACGTAGGTACGTACGAGGTTCTACGTTGTGACTGACTGACCATATTTGTATCAATCTCGGTGTTTCATCCTATTTGGGTTCACCAGCATCTTAGAGTTGATATTCACGTTAGGATTCAAACAACCAGTACTGATGAATTGTGTCATATATTTTAATAATAGTGAATTTCTTGAAGTTATTACTTGCGATACTAATGTACCTGGTCCTACGTTGTAGCTGACTGACTGACTAGTGATACTACTTACAAGGCTTTTGTTTCCTTCACGAAGATATACATAAAATATAAATAAATATTGAAACTTGATTGATACAACAGTCGTTCCACTTTTTCTCTTTTACAATTTACAAATTTTTATTTCTGATTATCTGTGTAATGTGAAATTACGTTGTAAAATAACATGACATGTTATTGGCTTTCTCTCTCAGTTACATATATATACCTTGCACATATTATGAATTGACACTTTGTAATAGGATTGTTCGATGGTCTGATTTTTGGAAATTTTTTCATGCGTACGTACATAAACAAACATGTTATCTCCTATCCTACTCTTCCCTTTTCTGTCACTCTCACTTTGTGAAATTGCTTACTTTCCATATTTAGACTTTCATTCAAGTTTGGCTTTAAATTAAATTTTTAAACTATTTCCTCTCATTTTCAAATATTTTACTTCTAAAAAATAAAAACAATGGTAATTTTATAGAGTTGAGATCATGAGTCAATTGAAGCTAGACCACCATGGAAAACCTGGAAGCACTGGACGGCTGTTTCGTCCTATTAAGGGACTCGTCAGCAGTCCGCATCCACGATCCCGCCTCACGAGATTCGAACCTAGGACCTACCAGTGTCGCGCCATAGCACTTAACCGATAGACCACTGAGCTGGCCAGCATTCAACGGTATTAATGTCTAACTTCAACCAATCCACGAAATTGAGCAACCATTCACCAATGTCATCAGTGAGTTGACATTGCACAACATACCTGGTTGAACTTCACTGGTTACTGCTTCTCACTAGAACTCCAGGAAATACCTCATGGAACCAGTTACTAGTGAGCACATGACAATAGTAGCGAAGATTTTTCGTGAAGAGGAAACTGTATGTTGAGGATGTCAATTGTTATTAACTGATATCATGTGGAGAAATGTTGAAGAACAAGGTTCATTTGACAAATGCTTTATCCAAATTTGTACTGTGCTCCAAAGAAGTCATATGAAATTAAACCCAGTACTTTGAGGTTACCCAAAGAAAGACAAAAATAACATTGAACCTGACACATATGTGCATCGATTCATATCAACACAGTAAAATGAAATTATCAAGATAAATCCCAGACTAGTAATAGTCATAACAGTATCAGTCATGGTAGAAAAAATTAGACATAGACAATATAGTTCAAGAGTTAAAATATGAGAGTAAATAGATCTGCACTGATGCGGCCGATTCTAAGCCATATCGCCCAACATCTCCGATCATTGGTTACGATAATTAAAAAACTACAGCCAGGTTGTCTGGAGCTATCTACGCTTCTCTTTTGGGACTCTCAATGACTTCATGGATATCTTGGTTTTCTTCTCCTAGCTTTTTTCCAGTCTACTTCCACATCAGCCAGTTGCAAGTTAAGGTAGACGGTGTTTGAGCATGATATGATGGAAAATATTCTCGTCTCAGGATAAGGATGTTGGAGGTGTTTTTCACCTGGGATTTTGTTGGTTAGGCGGCCTGTTTGAATATCTGGGCTACCTGTTCCTTTTTATCTAGATACTTCAAGAAGTTATCTAGTTTTGTTTGTTTTAATACATCGCTATGTCCATTAATCGCATAACCTATTCAGTTGCTTTTCGGAAAACTGTACAGACTTTCGTTGTACAAGTTGCAAAGGGCTCATTTAGAGGTATCGTGGTTGCTGGCAATATGTATGCAGCGAAAAGAATGTACATTACTTAGGTGTCGATTTAGTGGACTTCTAACTTCTATCTGGCGATCACTCAATATTTATCGTCAGGATCGATCACGAAGTAAAAACGGAATCTTTTTGAAATATTTTATGCTGAGAATTCTATATTGTACCAAAAATATAATATTGAATAAAGCTAATAATAATGATAATAATAGCGATTCTCAATAGCTCGCTTCTCTTTGAAGTACATGCTAATGATTGTCTCAACATACGTGTTTCCCAAGAATAAAATAGAATGGAACAAACTATCGCACAGTTTACTCATCTTTTAATTGGCAGACATACATTTCGCCTGCACCACAAGAGATGCAAGTTGGCAAATCCATTCTAAATTCGTGCTGAAATTTCCTCAGGAATCAGCTCAATAGGGCTGATAAAACTTCCAAGTCAAGTAATTTAACTTTACGAGGCAAGTTGACTAGGTCCTGATGAAGCATTTCGCATTTAGATCTGAAGGAACTTATACCAAACATGCAAATATAAACAGTAATTGATGTCAATTGCAACTTATTTTAAAACTTTTACATTTCTTAGAACTCATTCGCTTTTTTTTTTCTGTAAGACTTGATAACTGCTCATTATCTATTATTATAGCCTCAATCAAAATATTTTAATACATTTCTATGTAGATTTCACTTTACTTAATTCAATTCATTGAACCAAGAGATTTTAAAAGAAGCATTTTTTTCATGTTACGGAATTTAAGTAGTATTACTAGACCGTATACAATGCATGTATTTCATAGGTTGTATGGTTTGCCTTCTCTATCACTTTTTTGCCTCCAATTCATGCATGCGTTAAATACATGCTTATTTATTTATTTATTTATTTATTTAAACACATAAATATTGGTACAAGGAAGCACCAGATACATATGCGCCACACAAATCTCATTTGATTTGTGTGAGGACTGAGATACTGCCCAGGTGCCCAGATCGAAACATGTGGTTTTCTCAAGGGGCCACACTCAGAGCCTTTGACCTAAAGGTCTAATCCAAAAGGCAGCGAAGCATCGTGAGGAGATGCAGTCCCATGGTAGCCGATGACCAACGATTGATTCATACGCCATTTGTTCCCTCAGGATACTGGATTCCATGTGCACCATTGGTTTGGAATCAGGGTTTTCCAACTCGCCTAGGTGGACTTTCTGTGTCCACCAGCCCGGTTAAAGCACCGTACACTCGCTTTTCGTTTTCTCGGTTTCGTAATCAACAGTAATGCTACGAGAAGGCAGTGAGTAGGACTTCCCTGGCATAGGCTGTATACGCGTGGCCATGTGAGAGTATTTGGAGAGGGAGAGCCGACTCTCCTCACTTTCCGCCGTACCGAGGCATTTGGGGGCTAGAGTTTATTCAATTGCACTTTTCTGTATTTATTTCTGAAAATAATCACTAAAACGCATGGTAATTTACAGGTATATTCAAATTGACATAAACTTTGAGAGAACATTTAAAATATAATGGAAGATTATTTTAAAAGATTTGATTCATAAACATCATTCAATATTTATGATAAGGTTGTTAATAATGTGTAATGTACAACGGAAGCGAAATTCATAATCAAAGTGGACATCACTTTAGTGTTTGACATTGATAAAGAAACATTAGTTTAGCAAATAGTTGGGATGGGGAGGCTTGACGTGATAAGATAGAATGTTGGAATGGAGATATTGTCATCAGCAGAATCATAGAAACAGAAATAAATCAGCTAGAGTTAAAAGGTCCAGAGAATAGAAGATAGATGAGAAGCAGATGGCTGTGAAAGAAAAAAATTACGAGAGGTTTATATCATGGTAGAAGAAAAGGTCAAACCAGTCTCTTTTGTATGCATAACTCTGGTTTCTCCAGATGTATAGCTAGTGCTTTGCTAATCCTAAAACGATGGAAACTTACTGCCTTTGCCAGCTTTTTACTTGTCGTGTAAATGATTCAGAGTTCGTTTTGATCGAAATATCTGTGTTCACAAGTTGTTTGATTATACAGCTTCTTATTGAGCTATTTCCACCTCTATTCAACCAAGTTGAATAATATTCTTGAATCCTTTTGAATAAAATCCTCATCTAACGACCTACATACCTGATTTCAAATGAACAGAGAAATTGACAAAATTCCTATGGAATTGGTTAATTCATGTAAGCATAGAGTTGTCTCTACCAAGTAATTTATGAAGAACATTCATACATTGGGAAAGCGCTCTAAGTACGTTATGAGCCTTTTGGAATAACAAATATCACAGAATTTGATGTTACCCAACAACTTTGTGTACAGGATTAACTGGCGTCTATTGTCACTGTTTAGAGCTGTAGTGTGCATCTACTTTCTAAACAAGAATAAAATTTATTGAATACGCATTAATGTAAGAGATAACATAACATGTAGTTATCACATTTGACTTAGATATATAATCGACTTTTCAATTTTTGCTAATTATAGCACTCGACATTTAGGAACCATCATTCTATTATATATATTTACTTTACTTGCGCCGGTTACCATTCGTGGAGGAGTATAGGCTGCACACCAGTTCTGGTTAGCGTTTCTTCAGCGAGTTAGTTTTCTATAGGATGGGGTCGCTAACCCCATGCACAACCCTCCTCCTTTACCCGGGCTTGGGACCGGCAATAACTCTATGAGAGCTACAGGCGGAGTTTATTATTATTATATATATATCCTTGAGTGTTTCTTAACGTATTATTTTATATATAAATACTTCCTCTCTAGTTTTATTTTCTCTTCCTTTTTTATTTTCACTATAGAAACTGTTTCTCGACTTAGCAAATTCAGTTTGATCAATCCAATGGATAACAGTAGTAGTAGTATTAATAGTAATAATAATAATAATAATAATAATAATAATAATAGTAGTATCAGTAGTAGTGGTACATCACGTTCACGTATAAAATTAACTGCAGATCAAATAAGTTCACCACAAAATGATTTTCGACATATTGGTCATGTTGGTTCAGATGGTCGAACATTTGGTGACATTGGTCTAGTTAGCAAAATTATCGATTTGAAAGGTTAGTTTATCGATTTTTCTTTGGGTATTATTTTTGTCAATTATTTATTTTAATAAGTGTCAAATAACACGAAACCTAGATCCAATGGTATCTTGGCAACTGTTACCAATCATATTACATAATTAATTTGTAAGCGTAAATGATTTCATGGATTGTTTGAAGTTAGACATGAACACCGTTGAATGCCAGCCAGCTCAGTAGTCTAGTAGTTAAGAGCTTGCGCACACGAGTGATAGGTCCTGGGTTCGAGTCTCGTTTGGCGTGATTGTGGATGCGCACTGTTGAGGAATCTCTTAATAAGACAAAACGGCCATCCAGTGCTACGAGGTTTTCCATGGTGGTCTAGCTTTAATTGATTCATGATCCCAACTATTGTGTAATTAACAATTTACGTTTGTATCTCTTTCTCATTTCTTTTCACATACATCATAATGGTGTAAATAATTCATTCTCTCCTTCTATTTACTTTTGTTATTCATTAGCAGTTTGTTTGTTTGTTTTTTTCTCTCTCATAATTCATAAACATAATTACCCTTACCTATTCATTATAAATATGCTTTATCTATCTCTAAGAATTGAGAAAATAAGTCATTGGTAAATAGTTGCTGATAATTTATATTCCTCTATAATACAACTTAGTTGTCTACTTAACGAAACAGTTAATGATCTCACTGTATGTATATATGCACCCGTCAGTTATATGAAAGCAATATCTAATTTCATGTATGTTGCGTATATGTTGATTATTGTTTGTAATTAATTAATTGATTAGGTAATTTAACCCGTTAACAATAAAACTGAATTGTTCGATCGGGAAGGGGGGTGAAAGGCTATAAATTCTATATTGATTATTTTTATATTGAAGTTTAGTTCATATTGTAAATCGATTTGGATCCTTGATAATTCGTATACAACATGTATAAACTCTTCTTTTTAAAAGCATCTTAAAACAACCAGGGCTTTTTTTTTTATTCTCAATTATTATGTGAAAAATAAACTACTACCCTCAAATGCCGTGGTACAGTAGAAAGTGAGGAGAGTCTGTTCTACTTCTGCAAATGCTCTCACATGGCCACGCGTATATAGCCTCTGCCAGGGAAGTCCTACTCACTGCCTTCTCGCGGTATTACCGTTTACGAAATTGAGAGTACGAAAAGCGAATGTCCGGTGCTTTAACCGGGTTGGTGGATACGGAAAGTCCACCTAGGGGGTTGGAAAACCCTGATTTCAAACCATTAGTTCACATGGGCTCCACTAATGGCGTATGAACTAATTGTTAGTCACGTGCTACCATGGGACTGCATCTCCTCACGAAGCTCCACTGCCTTGTCGATTAGACTTTTAGGTCAAAGGCTCGGGGTGTGACCCCCTATATAAATATATATATATATATATGACTTGATTAGAACTTTACGTTGGAAGAAGTCTATCTATTTATCATTTTATATAGTTGAGATCATGAGTCAATTGAAACTAGACCACCATGGAAATCCTGGAAGCACTGGACTGCCGTTTCATCCTATAGTTACAGCCGTTCAGTGCTTCCAGGTTTTCCATGGTGGTCTAGCTTCAATTGACTGATGATCTCAACTATATAAAATTATTAAAATCTACACAAAACCTCCTTCTGATATTTAGAATTTTGTTAATTGATACTAACGACGTACATAAAAATGAATCAATTTGGTCCGACATCTTATCATCTAATACTCCTGCATTTCAATAAGAAATAAGATACTGTGGAAAGAGATTGATGTCTATTAATTCTCATGCACTCACTGATTGAATTCATTTCTCATTAGTAGAGTATAAAGTCTATTTCTTTTTTTGAATGGTCTATTCTTTTTTTAAAATAGATAATCTCTCTGATTCTCAATCATTTCACGATTTCACTGTATCCGATGATAAATACAAATCCAATAAATCGAATACTTTGCAAATTGTAAGTTATCACTTTATTTAAATTCATTTTGTATTGTTTATTTGAATCTTCTCATTGATGTTTACGACTGCAACTGATCAGTCTCTAATTGGCATATGTGCATACTGTGCGTATTGCCCGGATATAGCCTCGACACAGCTGACGAGCCCAAATAGGACGAAACGCGCATCCTGGATTCCACTGTTAGACACTATCCATCTTTTCATATCACTTTATTCTTTTTGTTTATACAAAACAAATTGCATCTTTTATTAGTTACAATAATGTTATAGTTCAGTAATAATTTTTTTAAAGGATAAATTAGGATTCGAACTTCTAACCCTTTAGTTCTTTTAAATTTTCATATAACAAATAAATCCTAAATATTTCATTTTACTCAAGGTGGTTACCAATTATCTTTGATAGTTTTAGTTAAAGAATTTATGAAAATCTGTTCATTTGATTTGTTGCCAAAATCGTATAATCACTGGAGAATAAGTGGGCACAAGATAGATGTTTCCGTTCGGATTTTGACTACTTCTCAGTATATAAGTCAGTCAGTCAGCTACAACGTAGGACCAGGCACATATATGCATCGGTACAAGTTGCCATACCTCATTAGCACAACAAGATCAACAACGGATTCATAGAAGTAGTTAATTTAATGGTGGCTGTATATAAAAGATAGGTTGTACATGAGGATATAGTATAGGAAGGAAGAAAGTTATGAAGCAATTTTAATCTCAAGGTTTAAGGGAAGATAAAGAGTGCATACTCCTGCGCCATTGTGATCAATTCTGAGCAATGTCACACAGAGTCTTCAACCATTGGTTACGATAGTCATCACGCGGACCCCAACTAGGTAGTCTGCATCTACCAACATGGCTCAGACTAGAAGTTAGTGACTTCAAGCTGTGATGCCATGTTTTGGTTTGGCCGCCACAGTATATACGATCAAACCGAGGATTTTCGGATCTTTTAGAAAATACAATGTTTTTGAACTGTCAAATAGCTCGCGTACTAGATTTCTATACATATATTCATATCATAGCCTGATTCATAGAAAAAAAACTGACACTGTTTTTCTGTGCTATCCAATTTCACTATTTTTTTCGTTCCGAAAGAATTAAGATTGAGAGTTTAAGTTAGCAGCCATGGTTCTCATCGATAACTTACACCAAGTATAATGTTATTTTTAACTATATGAATAGATGAACTTCCTGCCACCATTTAAGAATCTCTATGTTTGATATCTGATAGATTCGTCCCAGCATTATTACTTACTTACTAACTTACGCCTGTTACTCCCAATGGAGCATAGGTAGCCGACCAGCATTCTCCAACCCACTCTGTCCCGAGCCTTCTTTTCTAGTTCTATTCAGTTTTGTTCTCCCTGCATTATGATTCTGTTATATTATTTTGTATTAATCTATAAAAAAAAAGTAAACCATACATTCTGATTAGACATAATCACTAAATTAATTATGTCCAATGGTGCCCGACCGTTGTTGCTACCTTGACGTGGAGGTCGGGCTTGCCTATCGTGATGATCCAATCGAGCTATGCTGGCTGGAACAATCGTTCCTCGAGGTCCTACCATGCCAGACAGGTCGGTTGAAGAGCGGTGAGACTAAAATCAGCAAACCCAAGGTCCGAAGGCGAAGTCGTACTGCTGACTGTACAGAGTTGTGACAGCAGTAAGGAGTTTCCTTCAGACAACCAGCATGACAGCGATGCTGCCCTCCCACAAGGAGGGGTTGGGGTTAGAAAAGGTCGACCCTAAAAATGCACACCTCGCCTTATCCCACGGATATCCGTCTCCGGCGGTAAGGTTTTTTTTTGAAGAACGGAGCTAACACAAAAATCCCCCACAAAAAGGCCGTGCGTGACCGGCCTTAAGCAGTTGTCCCTTGGACACTGCGGTCACGCTCCCAGGCCTTAAGACCAATACTAATCCAACTTCTTCTTCAGGTCCCTCAAGAATTACCCTTCCACGGTGTGGGCAACCGGGAAGTGATACTAGCCCTCATACCCTTAACTGCACACGAGACCAAGTTGGTCGCTTTCAAATCCTTCCTACACCTAATACCTCTGTTATCTCCACGACTAACTCTTCCCGCGTCCTTTTATCACCTCGCACCGCTAGGGCAAACGATTCGAGTAAACGGAACGTTATTCTTGGTCTCCTGAAACCACGCTCTAAACTACATATAGGAACTTTTAATGTCCGAACATTGTGCCAAATAGGACAACAGGCTTCCTTAGCTAGGACTCTAGAATCTTACACCATCGATGTGTGCTGCGTCTCCGAAACGCGCATACAAGATCCGAATAGTGTCATTCATTTGACCGCACCTAATCAAAATAAAGTTTCATCTCGATACACGCTTCGTGTATCTGGAAGCCCTGACGCTGCTTCCCGTGGCCTCGCTGGAGTAGGTATAGCATTAAGTCCTAGAGCAGAACTAGCTCTTTTAGACTGGATCCCAGTAGACAGTCGTCTATACGCTGTCCGACTAAACGGATCATTAAGGACCCGGAAAGATAGGAAAACTCGTCGTTGCCTCTTCGTCGTCTCTGCCTACTCTCCCACTGACTGCAGCTCAGACGATATAAAAGATGAATTTTACAGGAAACTTTCTGACCTTCTCCGAGAAGCCATGCGTTCTCATGTAGTAATAGTAGCAGGTGACTTTAATGCTCAAGTAGGTAAACTAAGTGAAAGGGAAAGACACCTAGGTGGATCTTATGGTGTCATGGCGAAAAGAACAAATAATGGCGACCGTCTGTTGCAGCTATGCTCAGATAACCGCCTATTTCTTGCAAATACTGACTTTAAGCATAAGGAAAAACATCCTTTGACATGGAGACCCCCGAATTCGTCCCAACGTTGGACCCAATTAGATCACATCGCTATCAGCCACCGATGGAGGGGCTCGATAGAAGACTGTCGCTCATTCTGAGGCACATGTTTAAATTCAGATCATGCTCTAGTGCAAGCACGTATCTGTCTGCGACTTACTGGACGTAGGAAAGACACTGCAGGGAAGCCTCTAAGGGTTCTACTTAGTGATAAGCAGGCTAAGAATATATTTCAGGAACAACTAGAAAAACAGTTAGACAGACATATAGGTTGTGCCCACCCCGAGGCAGCGTGGAATGACATCCGTAAAGCTGTGGAAACAGCAGTGATATCCGCTAGTAAGGTAAACCATAACGTTAGGGAGAAACAATGGATCTCGGCAGCATCTACCGCACTGATAGATGCTCGTAAACTCATCCCACCTGGCTCTGAGCATAACGAAGAGCGGAGTCAACTTAAGCGCAGGCTTATAAGAAGCCTACGTAATGATCGTGATCAGTGGTGGGTAGCGAAAGCAAGAGAGATGGAAAAGGCAGCGGCAATAGGTAACAGTAGGCAGCTATTCAGACTCGTTAAAGAAACCGGTATTAGGAGCCCGAATATCAGTGAAACCATCTCAGATAAAGGTGGCCCGACCGTTGCTGCTACCTTGACGTGGTGGTCGGGCTTGCCTATCGTGATGATCCAATCGAGCTATGCTGGCTGGAACAATCGTTCCTCGAGGTCCTACCATGCCAGACAGGTCGATTGAAGAGCGGTGAGACTAAAAGCAGCAAACCCAAGGTCCGAAGGCGAAGTCGTACTGCTGACTGTACAGAGGTGTGAAAGCAGTAAGGTGTTTCCTTCAGACAACCAGCATGACAGCGATGCTGCCTTCCCACAAGGAGGGGTGGGGTTAGAAAAGGTCGACCCTAAAAATGCACACCTCGCCTTATCCCACGGATATCCGTCTCCGGCGGTAAGGTTTTTTTGAAGAACGGAGCTAACACAAAAATCCCCCACAAAAAGGTCGTGTGTGACCGACCTCAAGCAGTTGTCCCTTGGGCACTGCGGTCACGCTCTCCGGTCATTAAGACCACTTCTAACCCAATTTCCTTTTCAGGTACCTCTAGAAGAATCCTTCCACGGTGTGGGCAACCGGGAAGTGATAACTGCCCTCATACCTCTAACAACACTCAAGACCACTGTATTCATAATCAATCTCCTTTTTCACTTCCCACTATTCCTTCTACCTTGACTTTCAACACTAAACTTCCTCTCTCGGTTTCCTCCTCAAGTGTCACCATGGCCAACGATTCTAGTGCGCGAAACGCTGTCCCAGGTCTACTAAAACCTCGCTCCAAACTACACATTGGAGCCTTCAACGTACGTACTTTAAGTCAAATCGGTCAACAGGCCTCCTTAGCTAAAACCTTAGAGTCGCGTACCATTGATGTATGCTGTGTCTCCGAAACACGCATACAGGATCCTAGTGTGGTCATTCACTTGACCTCACCTCGCCAAAATGGACAGCCGACGAAATACACCCTCCGTGTATCTGGCGACCCGTTGGCTAGTTCTCGCGGACTTGCAGGTGTAGGCATAGCACTAAGTACATGGGCAGAACAAGCACTACTAGAATGGATCCCCGTTAACAGTCACCTGTGTGCTGTCCGGCTAAATGGCTCCGTAAGAACTCGGAAGGATAGGGACACACTTCGTTGTCTTTTCGTCGTTTCTGCCTACGCTCCCACTGACTGCAGCCATGATGAGGTGAAAGATGACTTTTACAGAAAGCTCTCTGAGCTTCTTCAGAAAGCTAAGCGCTCAGACATAGTAGTCGTAGCGGGTGACTTTAATGCCCAGGTAGGCAGCTTAAATCAAACAGAAAGACATCTAGGTGGGTGTTTTAGTATTCCGGCTCAACGAACCGATAATGGTGATCGTCTGTTGCAACTATGCTCAGACAATCGTTTATTTTTGGCAAGCACTAATTTTAAACATAAGGAGAGACATCGTCTAACATGGCGACCACCTGCACCAAACCAACGATGGACTCAAATAGACCATATTGTCATCAGTCATCGTTGGAGAGGCTCAATAGAAGATTGTCGCTCGTATTGGAATACTTGTTTAGACTCTGATCACGCTTTAGTACGAGCACGCATTTGTCTGCGCC